TCAGAGCTCATGCCTCCAAATCGCCATTCGATCACCTCCTCTGCGGCGTGGGGCGTCCACGTCCGTCCCGGCTTCGAGGATATCCTCGTCCCCGTCCACGCGGATGGGGAACGCCTCATACGCAAAATTGGCGCACGAGCAGTTCCACGCGTCAAGATGCACAATGTACGGCGCTGACAGCGTCGGCGGCGTATGCGTTGCGCTTCGAAGTCGCCGCCGCCGAGCGCACGAGGTAGAAGGCCGCCGCCTCATCCTCAGCCGTCTCTCCCTGCACAGCTCGCTCAGGAAGCACGCGGGGTGACGAGAGAGCGGTCGAGGAGGTCAAAGAGCTGGCAGGAGGAGGGTTGGATAGAGGACGTGTAAGGGTCGCAAGGAGGGGCCGGATGGAAGGCGGGAGACCAGAAAAGGGGGGTTCGATGGGGGTGGTGTTGGGGGCTGGGTTGTTTGGGGCTGGGGACGGAGGTGATCGTGTTGACCAGAGAGGTAAGCACTGCTCCAGGGGTTGGGAGTGTCATGCTTTCGGGGATGCGTCATGAGTCTGGATGAGGTAAGTGAGGTTCCTGGCGTTGAAAGCTGATGAGTCGTAGGGAGCATGAGGGCCCGGAGCCTGGCTCAACGTAAGGCGGCTATGTGATGTGTCTGGTTCTGTAGTCAGTGGCCCCATTCTGCGTCACGAGTCGAAAGGCCATACTACATTTGTTTCTGAAGCGAGGCATCGTACAAGTCGAAATATGGTCAGGTTCCTATGCAGGAAGATCATGGTAGCCACCAACACCTACGGTCGTGGGTGAGACGGCGCCATTCGAACAGTGCAATACATCATTAGCTGGACTGTACGTTATCATGCTCTCTCCAACCCAAATTTTGAGTTTCAAATTGAACATACGAAATCTTCTAGCAAAGTTTATATCGTCCCAATGTCATTACAGCCCTGAAATACTTTTTTTGGTGTTACAATCGCAAGTGAAATACTGTGCGCCGCGCCTTTACACCCACTCCTTAGGGTTCCTCAACACATCCACCAGCCTCTGCTCACGGCTCTTAGGCTCAGGCTCGTGCATGTAGTGCCACGATGCCGTAAGTGGCAGGCTCATGAGAATGCTCTCCACCCTGGAGCCCGGGGTGTTGAGGCCAAACGCCGTGCCGCGATCGTGGACCAGGTTGAACTCGACGTACTTGCCCCTGCGAATCTGCTGCCACTCCTTCTCCTGCTCAGTGAAGGGCATGTCCTTTCTCTTCTCGATGATAGGCATGTACGCGGGCAGGAAGGACTTGAGGCAGTCTTGGGCAAAAGCAAACGTGTTCTCCCTGTCCTTCTCCGTCTCATCGAGGTCGTCGAAGAAGATGCCGCCTACACCGCGGCACTCACCCCTGTGCTTGTTGTAGAAGTATTCGTCACACCATTTCTTGAAGCGAGGGTAGTAGTCCTTGTCGTGGTTGTCACATGCCTCCTTGAGCGTCTTGTGGAAGTGCACGGCGTCCTCGTCGAACAGGTACGCCGGCGTCAGGTCGCTGCCGCCACCGAACCACCATGCATGAGCCGTACCGTCGGGGTGCGACGTCTCAAAGTATCGGTAGTTCAGGTGGACCGTCGGCGCCATGGGGTTCTTTGGGTGCAGCACCATGCTGAGGCCGGTCGCGAAGAAGGGGAGCGCGTCAATGTTCTCGTCGAGGTGCATGTTCTTGTGGTTGGCGCGCATCTTGGCGACAGCGGCCTTAGGGAGTGTGCCGTAGACAACACTGACGCCGACACCACCCTTCTCGAAGACGTTTCCGTCCTGGAGAACGCAGGTGATGCCGCCGCCACCCTCGGCGCGCTTCCACTCGTCCCTTCGGAACTTGGCGCCGTCGAGCTTCTGCAGCTCCCACACAATCTCGTCCTGCTGCTCCTTGATGAACTTCTCCATCCGCAGGCGCATCGGGGCGTCGCTTGTCACGCCCGCCTCCTTCTTGGTCAGGGCATCGCGTTCGGCAAGGGTAGGGCCATCGAGTTGATCGGGTTCCTGGACAGCCTGGGGTAGAGCAAGGTCAGCACCTGGCTCAGGGGATGATGGCGGGAGGGGATCGGCAGCATGTACCATTTTGTAGCCAAGGGTACCTGCAAGGGATAGGCCGACGGCAGCGATGAGCAAGTAGTTAGGTGTGTACGAAGACTTTTGAACGGTCAATTGGGGTTCGGACGAGTTGAATCGAGCACCGAGTCGCAAGGGGAATCGATACAAGTGCTGCTGCTGTTGCTTCGTGGCAATCCTCGACTGGGCAGAGAGCTGGGTGAAGAGCTTCCGCCCTTGCCACCTGGAGGCCATCGCGAAGGGGATATAAATACAGACGAAGGATGGGAGCAAACAAAGGTGAAAGATCGAACGATACTATGGTCTCAACATAAGACCACTTTCAAAAGTGCAAATGCGGTTGGCCGCTTTCTGATGGGTGTGACTTGAGAACGATCAGCCAGTCGGGTGGGTTGGATTGCAAGAAATCGAATGTTCGAAAGCCGGGAGCCATGCAGAGGGAAGAGCTCGAACGGAGCTGGACCCCTGGGCGACGTGGCTTGGCCCAGGGGCCACCCCAGGCCGCCAGCCTGTGGTTCGGCATTGAATCGGCTGGTGGGATGGTGGGGTGATGAACCGCGCACCTGGGTGACACTACACTGTCTTGACTGGACACTAGGTCCTACCTAGGTACCTCGTACTGAACACACTGGACAGAGGACACTGGAACTGGACGCTGGACGGGGGGTTATTATGTCAGCGGCGACGGGTGCAGGCACAGTACGTACCGAAAGCACGAATGACCCCTCAGGCCATCTTTGATTGCGTCACTGTGTCACGGCCATGAGTTCTCATGGTGTGAGTGCGACGAGGCCATGAAGGACATGCATGCATCGACATGCATCAAACGGCTCGAATGTATGCCTGCTCTGCTTCGCTGAAAACTCCATCCAAGGCTAGCAAACAAAAACCTACACTGTGATGCTCCATGATGGCACTTCGACGCCTCGTCAATGTTATGCTAGATCCCGTGGAGACAGCAGGCGTCCAAACCGGTGACTCCCCCAGAGTCAGCTGCCTCGTTTTGACGGTTCACGAGCACTCAAAGCCGCCACCCCCCTATGCAATCCTCGGTCCACCAGCGTGGGGTCTGTGCACGATGCGTCGTTCATATCGCTGTCCTCGGGGAGGCTTGGAGGCCTACAGAGGCGTATTTCGTGAAAGAATGCAGTCATTCAGTTGACGCTACGAGTCCAGCTGGCAGCCAAGCTTGATAGTAATTCGAAATCCCATTCCAGCTGTCACAATGGCACCGCTTCGCCAGGCAGCGGTGCTGGTGCTGGTGACCACTCACCGATATCCCCGCACCAGATCGGATCTGGGCTAGCTTTGTAATTAGTCACCTGCCAGCCCCGCGCCGCCCGCCTGCCGCCTTCAGTGAACACCGCCCCTTCAGGTCGTCCAGGTCCCAGGCGGCAACCAACCCAACTCTACCTCTCCCCTTCGCAAACGTACCTCTTCTACCTAACCTTCTCTTCTACATCTTTCTCCGACACCATCAGTCATCACCACGACATCATATATAAACCCTTCTGCTGCACCCTTTTTGATCGACGGACCTGTCAACAGCTGCAACGAACTCAACCACAACCGACAGTATGCGATCCAAGTTCAAGGACGAGCACCCCTTCGAGAAGCGTAAGGCTGAGGCCGAGCGCATTCGTCAGAAGTACTCGGACCGTATTCCTGTATGTCGTCTCCTCTGTTCTATGTCTCAGTCGATACTGCCAGGCGACAACGTGGTATTTGTCGCTGTGTCGACCTTCCATGTCGTGCATGGGCGGGCATCGTCGGCCTCGACCATCGACTGATAAGCACCGTCTTATCATCACTGGTGCCTAGCCGCGACGGCCGACTCTCATTGCGAAGCAAAGCTGACCGCGCTCTCACCAGGTCATCTGCGAGAAGGTGGAAAAGTCCGACATCGCCACCATCGATAAGAAGAAGTATCTGGTGCCCGCGGGACCTGACCGTCGGTCAGTTCGTCTACGTCATCCGGAAGCGTATCAAGCTCTCCCCGGAGAAGGCCATTTTCATCTTCGTCGATGAGGTCCTGCCACCCACGGCTGCCTTGATGAGCAGCATCTACGAGGAGCACAAGGACGAGGACGGGTACGTTTCTCCATCCCCCTCACTGTCCAGATTCAGGGACTAACTACATTTGAAGCTTCCTCTACATTACCTACTCCGGCGAGAAAAACTTCGGCGACTGCGAGACTGCTTGAGCTTCAGAGAGAGCTTCCTTTTTGCAGCTGTCCCTCAATTCGGACTATGTCGGCGTTTGGTTTCTCTGGTCACATTATGAATGGGTTGAA